GAGGGCGGTGGGAGCGTCCCGGGGGAGACGGGGTGGGGAGGTGGATTGGGGGCACCCCCCGACGGGGGGGTTTGGTGTCAGTCTGGGGGGGCACCCCCCGAGGGGGGAGGTTTGGTGTCAGTCTGGGGGGGCACCCCCGGAGGGGGGAGGTTTGGTGTCAAGGGTTTCTAGCAGCGAAATGGGTTTGAAGCCTAGAAGGGAATTAGCAGGTTGATCGTGCTACCTCAAGTAAATAAATGACATTTAAAAATAAGGGAGGAGGGTGCATTTAATAAGGCTTTTATAGCGTTCATCTTTCGCGCTGGAGCGCTTGGGTAGGAGCAGGGTGCTCGCCCGGGGAGGTGAGGTGTGAGTGAGGAGACCAGGGGCAGCAGTGTTGGCTCAAGCCGTGGCTGGGGGAAGGAAACCTGGCTGCCTAACTATTATGGGATCCCCCCCCCCTCCCCCCCGTTTTTAATGCCGTGTTTATCTCAAGTCGCTAAGTGGTACCTTGGAAACTCTGCCCCCATTGTTTGGATTGGGTGTTAATTGATGGGTGAGATATTCTGATGCACCAAAAGATGGGGAGCCAGGTGGATGGATCTTCCCTCCTGATCAGGGAGGAAGGGTTTGCTGCACAGGGTGGGGAAAACTGAAAAACATTGGGTTTTCCACACAGTATTTCTAATGTTTCAATATTAAGGGAATTGGTAAAGAAGAGGGTGAAGCATGGGGAGGTGGTCATCCCTTGCTTTGCTCTACTCTGAAATTCCAAAAGATCCAGACCTTTAAAAACTCAGAATTTTTTTTTTGTTTGTTTGTTTTTCTCGTATGAAGAATTTATTTACTATGCAATAAAATGCACCTGGTATTTATGGGGCAGGAGTTGTGTGTCAGGGCTGTGATGCAACTGAGCCCAGCGTTACTTAACTGTTGGGTGCCACCCCTGAACCCAGGAAGTCAGGAGTGTGCTTTGGGCTTGAGCCTTCTTGTAGGACCTGCTGGTGATGTCAGTTAGGTTTCTTCAGGGGTTACAGGTGTTGCCTGTTTCCAGACCAAATGTTGTCTGGGGCTGGTTAGCAGAGGTGGCATGCATACTGGCTTCTGTGAAAATGAACCTGGTTCCTTCAAACTAATGTGCTCCTTGGAGCTGTGTGTTTTGTTGGACACCTTCCACACAGAAATTCCCTTTCCCAGACACCTCAGGCAGAGCGGGATGAGGCAGGGAGGAAGTACATGGCTGCTCAGTGGTGTTTGCAGGTATCTAAATGCATCTTCTGCTCAACGGCCACTTTGAGACACTAGGCCATTCCCATGGCTATGAAGAGCCATCCAGTCCAGACTGCTGCTGCATTTAAGCAAAAACTTCAGTGGACTCATCTCCATATTCCTGTATGCTGGAACGTGACATCTCTACAGAGATACTGAGCTGGTCAAGAGCATATCTAAGAGAAACTTAAGGTTTGAGGCTTAATTATTTTTTCCATGCAGAACTCTCCAAGCATTGCCTTTAATGTGCTTAAATGGGGCCAGGCAATTAGCTCCAGCTATGAAAACTAATTTGGAAATAATTTGGCCTGTCCTAGGAAGCTTTCTGGTGAAAGCTGCCCAGAACAGATTCTGAGGATAGATAAGGTCCTAGAGGAGAGAAGGCTCCACAGAGACCTTATTGTGGCCTTTCAGTATATAAAGGGGCCTCATAAGAAAGATGAGGAGAGGCTTTTTACGATGGGACAGGGGGCAACAGTTTTAAACTGGAAGAGGGTAGATTTGGGTTGGACAGAAGGAAGAATTTTTTTTTTATAATGAGGGTGGTGAGACACTGGAACAGGTTGCCCAGAGAAATTGTGGATGCCTCATTGTTGGGAATATTCAAGGTCGGGTTGGATGGGGCTCTGAGCAGGATGTTCACAAAGCCCACCTCAGGAGATTGGACTAGATGATCTTTACAGATCTCTTCTAATTTACACTATTCTATGATTCCTTACTGAGAAGCCCTACAGGTGCTGTTCCTGAGCTGAACCAGCAGATGCCTGCAAGAAAGTGTCTGGCTTAACTGGGATAATAGGCTGTGCATTTTTGCAGCCTCCTTTCCCAGCTGCAGCCCTGAACTGATCAGAGGCAAAAACAGCTGGGTCTCCTCTTGCCAACCTGGTCACATGCAGAAGTCAGTCTATTCTGGTGGTCCTGCATCTATCTCCCTATGGATGACGGTTGCTCAAGGTTTAGAAGCTTGGTAGTGAAAATTTTTAATTTAATCTGGGACTTGTGGGCACGTTTTTCTTGTACAGGTGTTGTGAAGATACTTAGGGGCATGCTGTCCTCTGGATTGTTGTTGGGTCTTCTGAAGGAACACAAGTCCTGCAAAACCTCAGTGCCCTAGTCCTTGCCTCTCACTGCTGTCTTCAGCCTTGAGCTCTTAGTGAGTGGAGCATCAGCCACTGTTTGCTGGTGGCTTGCCACTTGTGAACTCTCTGTTCTTCCTGATTTTTTCAGTCTCCTCTCTCTGTGTTGATGGCAGGTTAGCCAGAAGCCTCTGATGCCTTGAGGCAGATACCACATGGACAATTAACCTTAGTTACAGGAAATTTAATTGAATAAAAAGAGCATTTTCCATGTTGAAGGGCTGCAGTGTGTGAGTTTAATGGCTTTCTCTCAGAAGCAAACCCAGGTCTGGATTCTGCTGTTTTCCTCTCTCTGCTGCTCTTTCTCATGAGGGCTGGCCTACAAAGCAAGAGACAGCTTGGAGGCAAGGTCAAGGCATGAGGGTTGGTTTGTGACCCATTAGTCCTCTGTAAATGTTCTGGTTGCTCATGTGCTACAGCTGCCAGGGCACATCTGAAAATGCAGCTGAATGGAGCAATGCTTGCATGATGGATGAGAGAAAGAAGAGAACAAGACTTATTACTCCTGCTTGGTGCTTTAGAGACTCAACACTTTCTGAAAAGTTTTGCGTTTGCCTGATCGCAGAGGTTGTTCTTCATCCACATAATCTTCCTTGCTCCTTAGGATACAGGTATATATGCAGGGAGAAGTAAGTCCTATGAGATTATTCATGAACAGACGTATGCAAGCTGAAGAAAGTACAACCTGGGGCTCTGGAGCAGAGCTGCTTTGGGACGGGCAAGTGACTTCCCTTCTACGCAACTCCTGGGTGTGTAAAATGGAAATAAGAATAGTTACATGCTGCCAAAGTCACCTGGCTGAAACTCTTATGCATGTTAATATTGCCAGGTCTCTTCTGTGTGTGTGTGGGGGGAAAGCCTTCTATGTGCTGTGCAGGAACACTTCACCTTGTATCTTGAGGCAGAAGAGCTGTCAAGCTTTTTGGTACGTGGCAACTAGGATTTAGGCCTTAATTCCCAAGGTGGAGCAGTAAAAGTGAAGCTGTGCTGAGGAGAAG